TAATTTGCGCATTTTATAACGCTCGGGTCCACGATTTGCTTACTTTTGGCATCATCCAGTCCACCAATTTTCCAGCGAATTCCCAGATTTTCAGGTCTAGCAATGCTGTGCCTTGTTTCAATAGCGTTCTTCATGACGCCGAATCCAATTGCATGTTTCACTAGGAGAGTTCTGTTCCCGGTTGCAATCGCTGCTGTGTTCGCACCGATAACTGTTAAGGTAAGCTCACGCTTATATCATTGGCCGGTTTATGGCACACAGTGGCGTTAGGTAGTTTATCAAGTTTTTGTGACTGTCGTTACAATTGACGGTGGTGAATAGCCGTCTATAAGAAGACCAAAGTAAGTCAGGGACACAGAAGAGGCTGATCCAACTGAGACCAGCTCCTTGTGAAAAAAGTTATGGTCTGTAAAAAATGTCCCGTTCATAGGCTAACTCTCGCAAATCAATGTGGGAATCAAACCGCATTCAAATGATAATACAAGTCTGAATGGAAGTGGAATGCGTGTCGCACCCTAAAAAGATTTTGATTATCACCCGTTTTATCGCTTATGTAGAAGGCTGAAAAAATGTCGAAGCTGTTGCGCGCTGTCCGTCCATGATTAAGACAGCATGACGCGCATGCGCGTCAGATTCTCATGCGATGGGCATCGTTTTGCTCGATGCTTAGTATTTTCTTCTTAGAAAGTTGTCCATCCACATTATCGGATCCAGAAAATACTCTACTCAATCGCATCAACGAATCTGTTAAAGGAGTATTGCTGATTTTAGAAGAACATTCAAAAAATATGCCGAGGAACACTCACAACAGGGTGTCGTCAATGAGTTAAAGCAGCTTTCCATCACCGCATAGTCTGACAATGGCTTTTACCTTCTCGTAAGGTCCACTGATGACCTAGATGAGGTTCTCGGCAACAAGCAACCGCCAGGCTCAACCATGGCGTTGGAAAAAAATTGCTAGTAAAAGAACGTTCTTCTCATTCTTACGAGGAAGGTCTTTCAGGAAATGCCAGCTTTCTCAAAACGGTTTTTTGCATGATATAGGGGTACATGCATGGAACACAGAACTGTAGTTCATTTTTCCTGAGCGGCCCTCTGAATACCAAAAAAGGGGTGATGAAGTGGTCCGTGGTTCGAATCCTCGCAGTGACAATTTTTTTGCATTTTGTGTTGGCGTTTCAAAATTCGCGAAAAATAGCGTCAGCGTAAACAGCTTATGTTATACTCATGATAAGCACCATCA